CAGGTTTTGCCAGCTGCGCCCCGGCCCACGGCCACTTCTACCGGGAGCCCATCGCCCTGCCCACGCTGCACGTCATGGGCGACGCCGACGCTGTCATCCCCACCCCGCTCAGCAGGGAGCTGGCCCGGCACTTCGTGGAGCCTGTTGTCCTCGCCCACCCCGGCGGGCACTTCGTCCCTGCGGCTGCGCCCCAGAAGAAGGCCTACCTGGACTTCTTGGACCGCTTTCGCCCCGGACAGGGCCGGGCTGAGCCCCTGGGGGCTGGGGCTGTTTGATGACAGCCCTGCAATAAATGGGGCTCCAGCAAGCCGCGAGCAGCCTGCCATCTTGGTGAACCATCCCTGTGTTTCTGTGCCCTCCAGAAGGGTCAAAGAGCTCTCAGCTCACGGTGCTGCCCTGCAGTGTCAACCCAGGGCCAGGCTAAATGGGGTTTTGTTACCTCCCTTTTTTTTATTTTTCAGCTTGGTTGTGTACAGGAGCGCGTGGGTGAGATGAGGGGTCTGAGGGCCGGGGGGTGATGCTGCGTGTGAGGTGCTTTCAGAGGTTTGAATAGTTCACAGTCAGGGTCCCTCGGGTCAGCCACAGGAGTTGTCTGCAGAGCATGCAGCTCCTGCAGCGGTTACAGCCCAGAGGCCTGTGTTATTAATATTCTTGGTCAGAGCGATGAAGCCAAGCTTGCAGCTGGTCTGGGTCTAGAAAATCTCCTTGGCCCTAGCAGTGCCAGGGCTGGTGTTTGTTTCAGAAGTGAGATGTCTGCTGGTTCAGTGTGCGTGTGTTCGGAGACTTTCATATCTTCCTCTGTACAGAGTGCCTTTGTGAACAGGAAAAACTTGTCACTACGTTTTTTGGCTCTGATGTTTTCCAGAAGCACACAGAAATCTTTATTGTGATAATTGCAGTTCCGCTGCTTGGCTGCTGCTGGGGCAGGCTGGGCTCTCCAATCTGCAGCGCACGGCTGTCGTGCCGCAGGCCGTGCTCGCAAGGCTTCTCTCTAACCACAGCTTTCCTTGGGGGTACAGCACAGTCTGCTTGGTAAAAGAGAGAAACTGGATGAAACTTCTTGACTTGCACCCTGCTTGCGCAGCGCCGGGAGTGGGGGAGCAGCGGGGCAGCACGGTGTGGGTGCTCCAAGGGGCAGAGGACGCTGCGGTGCAGGAGCGGGCCCGGGCCCAGGGGACAGAAGCGCTGGGAACAGGCCTGGAAGATGCCACTGG